TATATATATATATATATATATATATATATATATATATATATATATATATATATATATGTATATATATATATATATATGTAGAATTATAGATATTATTTGTTTTATTAATTATTTTGTTTATATGTACTATAAGATATAATATTAAATATATTACTATAGACATATGAACAATACAAAAATGCATTAATTTTGTTAAGATTCTTACTTTAGCAGAATATGTAGATTTTACAGATGGAGTATCTTGGCAAGGAAACATGGATCTAGCATGTATAGCCTGTGAAAACATAAAGTTATATAATATACAGGGTATCCCATATTAATCGATCACCTCAAATAGCTCTTGAATAATGCATTTTAGGGAAAAATATTTCAAGTAAAAGTTTTGGGATTTCGAGGGGGACATAAGATGATATCATTGGTTTGACCTCGAGTGGCGTTGTCAAGGTCAAACAAGGTCACTTTGAATTTTTTAAATGGAACCCCCATTTTTCATTACATATTCTTATAGCATACCTCGAGAGCTTTCCAAAACACTATAATAAAATATTTTTGTATTAAGTATCTTTCGAGTTAAAAGGCTTTAAAGTTACAATATTGTTGCCATTAGCATTGGTACCCAAGGTGTTCGACCGACGGCTAAAACCTTTTGAATGTTGTTCAGGACCATGACCTTGACAACATTTGTCAAGATCAAGGCGATTAGAGGTAATCGATTAAAATGGGTCATCCTGTATATTTATAAAAGTTGTAAAAATTTTTAATTTATGATTTACTTGACATTGTGAAAATAAGTAAGGATGTACACCACCAGCAGTTTGTTCTGCTGTTAGCCATTGTAATGCGGTAGCATTTGGAGATGTCTCATACTTAATTTCAATTTTATATCTAGAAAAAAAAATATTAACAATTAAAACAATTAAAACAATTAAAAAATATATACAATTTTTAATAACAATTTTCAATATATCATGAACTTTCTAAAAATAGTTCATACTTATTATTATCATTAACAGCCAGTGCTGTTTGTGGTAACTGAACAATCAATTTACTTCCAAATTCAACATCACTTCCAATATCATATTGTAGGTGAGATCCGTCAATAGCATTTGTAACATTTAATATGACAAGTTTGCGATTATCTAAAATCTAATTGTTTGATATTTTAATTACAGATAAAAAATTCTTTTGTTAAAGTAAAAGAATAATTTTACTTACTAATTCAGTAGTAGTACTTTTGGTTTCTATATCTAATATTGCTTTACCTGTGAGAACTTTTTGTTCAAAATTAACATCTAATTCTAAATGAGTATGAGTTACAACTGCAAATTCTGTAAATTAAAAAAATATAAGTATTAAATAATATATATATATATATATATATATATATATATATATATATATATATATATATATATATATATAAATAATTAACAATATGTTCTCTCTAATTAAACAAAAGACAAAGTATAAATGCCTCTTTCACACATTATATATAATTATTAAACTATATTTAACACAAATTTTATACCATAAAATATTAAAATATTATAAAATGTGAAAAGTTTTAGCACAATGGCTTTGTTTAAAAAATTTTAAATAATCTAGAAAATTTTTTAATGATAATTAGACTTAAACAGATAAACTTGTTTTATTCCATATTTTTCAACTGGAGAATAAAAACTAATGTCAAAATCATATTTTAATATTGTATAGATTATATAATTAAAATTTGATATTATGTGAATTACGCAATTAAAATACCTGGTCTTGAAAAAGAACTTGGATCTCCAGGACTTAAAGACATTTTTAACAATGCTTTATCGTTTCTGAATAACTTGCAATTCTGAATAACTTGCAACGACTGGCAAATGATTGATACAGATCTCAAGGAGATAAACTCGATATCATATCTTCTTTTTCTTCTTTTACAGACACTTATCTTTTTTCAAGAAAAATATCGTTTTTTCTCTTTTTATTGGATAAAGCTGTGTTCGAAAACACACACTGTGTGCACACTACTAGACGATAGCCGTTCGAAAACATTGGTTAGGCGACAGTTTCCCGAAAAATGGAGGGGATAATGTTGGTATCAAAGAAAATCTCTACACGATATAATTTAAAGATCTGTTCTTTGTAACTGCACTGCTGAACTAATGAAAAAGGTTAGAATAAGAAAACGTATACTTGTCTCACTTCAATTTATTGCACAAGTTCAGCAGTGCAGTTACAAAGAACAGATCTTTAAATTATATCGTGTAGAGATTTTCTTTGATACCAACATTATCCCCTCCACTTTTCGGGAAACTGTCGCCTAA